ACTGTACGACTGTAAATACTGGAAAGAGAAAACACTGAAGACCCATGAAAGTATCTTCACTCTGACGCCATAATGGTTGTATCCGGTCTTACTTTGAATGGTTTCTGCTGTCTACCATAATCCTTCTTAAATTAAATTATTTTCAAATCTCCAATTTATCAGCTCTTAAGAATATGAGAATGGTCACAAACAAGAAAAGGCCCTGTCCATCCACTTGATCCAGAGATCTTTGGTTCAAGGTTTTTTGAAGGAAGTAAGAGTATGCTTCAACAGCATGGTTTGTTAACATATTTCACACTTTTACAAAGCTTTGGGTAAAAAATGTGCCTACTTTTCTTAGACTAAAATTAACTTCTATGTACAGTAGTTCCTCCTACCTGTATGTCTTCTGAGACTCATGTGGTTTGGAGAACAGGTTGGTCCCTTTTGTCATGAGTTCTGGGTCTGACTGCGACTTGAACTTACCTGTATTTATAAAGTGGTGGTACAAAGCTGGCTTGATGTGTTTGACTTTTTGCACACTTGCCAACCAACTGCAACTATTGTAGTGTGTGAGGTGCCTGTGAGCATAAAGTAATATGAATGAAAACAGTACTGGTACTATTGGTACCCTATCCAATGCTTACTGTAAATCTGCAGTGTGTGGTGCAAGTTAGAAGTTTTTTTTTGGTATTTTACAGAAACTGTAAGAAAAGTCTTCAACTCTCCTGTGCTGGTACAAGGGCTTTTGCAGTGCATGGAGTAGGAAATAAAAACAGAACTGATTATTCCATCTTGTAAAATAAAGGAACAAAAAAGGAAACATGTTGGGCAAGAATTGAGATTCTGAGTTTAGAGGTCAAGGTATTCATACAAATGCATATACTGTAAATGATTCATCATCCTTGTGTGTGGTGTGACAGTTTTATTGATAATACTGAAGCAATTGAAAGTAAGATGCTAGCTCTGTAAGCTTGGTAAGATGACAGAAGAACTGTTCGGTTCAGATATACTTTTAACTAGTCATTGAAGCTTCTAAGACTGAAAAAAAATTGAACAGTTGAACATGTTGATTTTTTTAATAATGACAACTGGTCAATATCTTAAATAAGATTAAATCTTTTAGTATTGCTAAATTGGATTAAGGGTTTTCATGAACTGATGTATTTGGTTTCTCTCTAGATAAAAAAATACATTAATTATGGAAGCTTGTATAGTCAGCTAAATAAATCTGTTAATCTGCCCATAATCCAGTTCAAATACTTCATAGTAGTAAAGTTCATCCAGTAATACCTACTATATTGTGAAATATAGTATCAAATATGGCATCAACAGACAGTTTTCTGTTAATTGCCTTTTGCAATTCAAAAACATTAAAAAACAGCTGGCAGAAAGTAATAAGTGGAAATGAATGGTAAGTGGAGAACATAACTACTCTGCCACAAGGTAGTTTATTAAAAATGAGAAAACAAAGTATTACAATTCCTTAGGTGGTTTCCTATTTGTGTTTTCTTATTGGTATTTTTTCTTTTATTTACCCACCTAAGTTTTGTAAGTGTAGCATGTTTTTTTTTCCACCCAAGTCACCACTTGCCAGATTGCTGCAAGAATCCATACGCATTGATCTCAGCCCTGCGATGCCAATTGAACACTGCTGTTTGGGAAATCATGGACATACTGTACAGTTAGCAGAAGTTAAGAGAGAGCAAGGACGCCTACAGGAGGAAGGTAGAGGACAAGCTGCAAAGGAATAGGATGAGAGATGTATGGAGCAGCATGAGAGAGATCACTGGCTTCAAACAGGCTGGGG